AATCATAGATAACACGGCAGGGTCCGTTACAGTTTGTTTTTATCTGATTTCAAATAAGCAAAGTCTTGGTTTTTAGAATATTAAACTTGTTTCGGCAAATTCAGATGATAAATAGGCCTACAACCATAGGCGGCGCCGTGAGGCTCAGGTTTGGGAAGGCTAAATAACTTTTTTTACCTGACGCTGCCCGCCTCCGGCGTGTATAGAAAAGAGATCAACTCAGTGTGCAGAGTTTAAATCTCTCAAGTCATATTACAGGATAAACGAAATACAGTTTAAACTACCGTATGCAGAGAAGACGCCGACGTGTCGCACTTATCATTCATATTACATCATCAATCAGATCATCAATCATATAATATCATAATATATCATATATTTCCTTATCTGAGTCAGCTTCTCCAGCCGTATCTAGCCGTGCAACACTTACAGTGTCACATACTGTATGCAGAAGTATTATTTTAAGCAACACATTATGTTGACGAAACACTCAAGTCAAATGTAATTAAAGTCAGATCCACTCGTGTCTTAGGGGCAGTGATATCATAAAACTATACGCTTTCAAACACTCGGTAGTTATTTTTTAACCAGTTGTTCTATATTCTCCTTGCAGGTGCAACTCTGTGGCTTGTATCCTGGATTATATGTTTAAATCATGGATGTTTAAAGCTCATATTTGTCTAATATTAGTTTACTTTTCATTAATGAAGTATGACGCTGCGCTGTCAGTAGGCTACACTTGTCCCTGTTTGTGATTGGTCAAATGCAGTTAACCCCGCCCCCGTGAACGCGCTCTCAGCTTGTGAGAGAAACCCTGGCTTGATTTACCGAGTTGATAACCAGCGTCGTAGGACCGCTTAGCGAGATCTCGTTTGTTAGTTTGTTGTTGTTAGTTTGTTTGTTACTCAAACATATCCAGGGTCTGTTGAACTGGCTTCGTAGTAGGCCTACAGGGCACAGGTGGCTAGCAGCGTTAATGTCAAAGACACAGACATTATACACTATATTTGTATTTTACCAGGATACAGTGACACAAATATTTGGGAAGGCTTAGCCTTCCCTAGCCTACAGCACCCGCCGCCACTGCCTACAACTTTGAAGCTTCGGCATAATTACAAGCGGAGAACGGAGTAAGTCATTTAACGTCACAGCAGGCATAACCAACAGCCGGTGTTTCTCGTGAGTGCAGTAATCCAAACGAAAATATCTTCATGTGAAATATTTTGCTTAATATTTGGAGTACAAAAACAATCCTGATATCATCAGAAAGCTAGGAATTCAAATGTGTCTTCGGGTCAATGCGACTGATTTTCGTCACTTTGCATTAGGTAAAATAAAGCAGGCAGACATTAACAGGAAGAATATGTACATTTTAACCCAATCAATAGGACATTGTCACACCATTCAAATGTATCCATGTAAATTACAACCAATAAAAAAAGCTTAATTTGTTTATTTGTTACGTTGTTTACTTTATTTGTTACGTTGTTCTGTGTGTGTCAGCCGTTAACCTAGCAAAATAATATATAGCCTACACTTGCAAACATGTCAGAAGAACCAGCGCAGAAGAAAACTAAATACAGTCAATCTAAACTTAAATTTAACAACTGGAAGGTCACATCCCTGACATCCACATCTCCGGAGCCTGGACCTTGGACCTTCTTCAATCATAGAAGCAGCGAAGCCAGATGAACCCAAAAGCAGCAGCTCTGCGGCCGCAGAAGAAACTGTCAAAACCGCCGCCGCCCCCACCGCCGCCGTCGTTGAACCGAAACAGGCTGGTTCCGACTGCATGGAGGTTTGTTGTCGGGACATTGAGGCGGGTAACGCTGTACAGCTAACTATCGGAAAAAAGGAGACCGCTAGTAGATTATTTGAGCAAAGAGAAGGTACTTCAACGCAGAATGGTACAAAAACAGAGAGTGGTTCATTCTTTGCAAAACCACTAAACGATAGTGATAAATTACGATGTTAACAACCTCATGATAACCTCATATTTTTTTAACTTAGGATCATACCTGTGTTTAGTCTAGAAAAAAGGTAAATGTGTGCATTTTATTATAAGTTGTGTATATTTACAGACTATTGCAAAAACTAAGAAGCTTATAAACATCAGGTTTTAAAACTAAAAGAGCTTTACAAATAAGTAACACAATTAAAGATGTTTGGAGTTTTATTTGAGTTATTCATTTACATTTTTTGTCAAAGAGATGCTGATTTGAAACCGTTGTTAGGCCTATACGTTACGGCATTTCCTGTTTCTGCCGGAGAGAGGGGAGGCCGTCCCAAAGCTTGTTGCTGTATTTACTCTGACAGGAGGGAGCCTCATGTGTCACTCCACGGAGTTCACTCCGTCACGGAGGGGGAGTGTGTGTAGGGCGTGGTTTGGGATTGGGCCATCCACACGCACTTTTTTGGCCCCCCCACTTCTAAAATGAATCCGGCGCGCCTGCAATGCATGTGTTCAAGCATATTATGAATTTGATCCAGAGACTGACCCTGAAGCAGCGGAGGTTTTGGTGGAGGTGCAAAGATCTCGGTTTGCAGCAGGACGTTTCTGAATGGTTAGTTGACAAGCTGTTGTCCCTATTTATTTTACTCTGTTACGATGCTTGCTACTTATTCCGTTCATATTTTGGCTAATTAGCAAGAATGCAATGTGTACAGTTTATAACTTAGAGTTTGTAACGCAAAAAACAGCAATACATATATATATATTTATAAAGGGAGACATTCATATTTTCAGCATATATACAATGAAATCAGAATATTCTTTACCCATCCAAATATGAATAATCACGACACATTTGATATCAACTCGGAACTTTATTGTCAAAATCAACGGTTCTTTGAACCCATAAAAAAAACGAAATGTACTTGTATTTTGTATAAATGAGACTAAATATTTTTTTTAATGATTTCAGGCGTCACAGGTATCTAGCCTACAGAAGCTTTGTGAGCTGGTGCTGGGGCTTCCTTGGACGCAGGATCAGAGTGGTGATTCCGGCCTGCGTTGTCCTCAGGGAGGCAGGAGTTTCCTGATCCGCAAAATGTCGATGTTGGGTTCAGACAGCAGCCAAATTGAACCGTGTAGCATACCCGGCGATGACCTCCTCCCTGTCAGGTTGCTCATAATGGTGCAGGGTCCACAAACACTTGGTCGAAGATGAGGTCCATCAAGTTGGCCACGTAGCCTGTGCAATGTTAAAAAAAAGCACAACAAAAAATGTGGTTTAGATTAGTATATGCATGTAAAAAAACTGAAAGTTCTTTCTAATTTTATATTTGTAAATAGTTGTATAATAAATATTTTAAACACTTACGGAATGTGGGGTCAGTCTTTACTGGTTTTGCTCTGCATTCTCCCTTCCTGGCCTTTGGGAACTGCAGTTTATACAGAGGGTTTTCCAGTGGATGTAGTGGCTTGTGCACGCTCAGCGTTTTCATTGTAGTGCAGGGCTGCCAGGTACAGTCTTTCATTTCCGCCATGATAAAAATGTTTTTTAAATAATAGCAAAGGATGTACAAATTGTCACTAATTAGTAAGTATGTGAGGTGCTGGCCTGTAAAGAAGAAAACATAGTTAGAACAAAATCATCTCAATTTAGTATCAGGATGAGAAAATACTATTTGGATAAATATAGTCTGAAATCCCAAAAGATGGGGCTTAAAAACTCTCTATTTAGCAAAGCTCTTTGCTTAGCCTTTTCCAATCTGAGTTTAGTTTTTGAACCGTAACGTGCATGCTGTGTTTCTGACTCAATACAGATGATATGTTGGGAGAGGGGCTGAGCTCAGTAGACTGACTAATGAGTGCTAGCCACTAATTAGCCTGTTGCTAGAGGTAAGGCCTCGTCAACAACAACAGACCAACGGGGCTTTAGCTCCGTTTTACTCGTGGTGTGTGTCCCCCCTCGCATATATACAGTGTTGTATCCTCACACACCCCCATTTATATTCATGTGCGCAAACAAGTAAACACACAAATCTTTTACATATAACGCTTGCAAAAAACGGCAAGTCTCATTAGCGTAGCGTAGCTTACAGATCGATGATATCTGATCGTTCTTACAACTACAATCACAAAAGCTTTTACATATAACGCTGCAAAAAACGGCACTTACCTACAGAAGATTACGTTTGTTATTATAACTTACTCAATATGATTTTAGAGGATACAAAAATACTAATAAATAGGAGAATAAATACTTGTGTTATCGGCTAGGGCGTGGCTTTACAGCCTTAACACAGATCGCCATTACGGCAGTATGTCTGAACATGTTAGCAAATGCCTGATAATTAAAATAAAAGACAAGCAAAGACTGCGGAGCGTACAAAATAAAATGTTACAAAAACATATAAACACCTAACCGATTACTATTGGGTTTGAGGCGACATTGATACGGTGAAGCTACATGCTACATGCTACATACTACAAGCTAGAGATAGCTTTATCAGGAAAAACACCGCTAAATAAAAACTTGTAGCTTCAAAATTGGATGTGTCCTCACTGGCCTGGTCCCGGATGGTTGGTATTGATCCCGGGTTTAGCATTAGTTTGGAGGCATATCCGTGTTGGACTTGAGAGAAGTTCATAAACATGTCCGTCGTAAAATGTTTTGGAACACAGTCACACCAACAGAAATCTGCCGTGGTCTTCTGGCACATGTCCCTTGAAAATGAAGTCTAGCCACAGATTATTTTCTTTTTCCACTGATGGCATTGCATGCAGTCCCCTTTCTCGAGTCTTGCAGCCAACAACAGCACAACGTTTAACTGGCTTAGACATCCTGGCAAGAGCAGGCAAAAACACAGATGTGACTGGGGTTGATTTTAGCCTGCCGATAGCCTATATGCGAATGAGAGGTTTGGCAATGCACGTGGCCGTGGCTCATTCCCCTGATAGGTGGAGAGTTGACCAATAAGCGGAGCACGTCTTTGTGACGTAGAAAAGTGTTGAAATCTTGATCCATTTTTTTTCAGATCCGTTGCAGCCGCCCCTTTTTTAGAGATTTGGCTAAGGAGGAAAAGAGAGAGGGTTGTGTTTTCTGACACTTGGTGAGTTCCCTGGAACACCGGGGACACATATTCATGTATAAAAGACGTACAAAGGTGCATTTTGCATGATAGGTCCCCCCTTTAAGCTTTCATTGTAGACTTCACAGTTTATTAGAAAACATGTGCTTTCTTTGCAAGTTTGGACTATTGTAATTGTATTATTATCAAACTCAGTGTTTCTATGAGTTTGATTATAAATGCTCAGTTCAGCAATTTAAAATAGTGAAATTACTTTCTGTTTTTTCCTTTTAGATTAAAGGGAAGCTATGGCTGGTCACTTCCTAATGAACAATTACAAACATTTAAAGAAGTTCTGCAAAATCAAGGACCTGCGGCAGCAGCTGCAAATATCAATGCTTATTTGGAAGAAGCAGGATAACATTCCACTTCACATCGCCGTCACAGGAGAGACTGGCTCTGGTAAATCCACCTTCGTTAACGCCTTTAGAGGAATAGACAACACGGATGAGCAAGCCGCCCCTACTGGTTGTGTAGAAACCACCATGAAGGTCAAATCATACCCCCATCCACAATATCCCAATGTTACACTGTGGGATCTTCCTGGCATGGCACCCCCAATTTTCCAGCTGACAAGTACCTGCAGCTTGTTGGCTTTGAAAGATTTGACTTCTTCATCATCATCTCAATGATCGCTTCAGAGAAAATGATGTGAAACTCGCTCTGGATATTCAGAAGATGGGGAAGAAGTTCTACTTTGTTCGCTCAAAGATTGGACCATAACCTGCATGACGCAAAAAGAAGTCAGAGAAATTTCAACGCTGAAGATACTCTTCAAAAAATCAGAGACAACTGCATTTAAAGGTAAGATGTGCTCTCACCTAAAGCTTAAAACACAAAAGAGCTTAATAATGTAGTTTGTTTACATTTCTAGAAGCTGTATCTTTAGGAACAATAGACTGGAAACGGGAGAAAGTGAAAATGTGCCTTAACTGAAGCAAAAAACAAGAATATTCAAATAAAAACAACCTCTATGGTCACAGACATTACATAAAAGTACATCATTTCCTGTTTATATCCACACATTCTTGCCCTTCAGATTTGCAGGCGGGACATGCCATCGGTGTTTGTCTCCCCCTCAACATGCAAACATCCTATTCCCAGATAATTATAATAATGGTTATAGAATTATAATAATGTTCATTCCAGATACAAGAGAGTACTGCGAGAACAGAGAGTTGTATTTATGTAAAACGTAAAGGCTTACGCAACAAGGGTCACAAGTAGACACTGGTTCAATTTAAGGGGACAACAATAACGTTCCACATGTGCAGCATAAGTTGAGAAGGGGAGCTATCAATGTTAACAGGTCATAAAATGAGTCATATGAATACTGGCTGACAGGGCGGACTGGGGGGAAAAAGTGGCCCGGGATTAATTGACAGACAGGCCCACTTATCGTATGCATGTATCGGCCGGCCGGCGACGAAAGTATGTTACTTAACAAAAAACCCTATGCATTTTATGTTATTTTGGACAATTATTCATATAGTAATCACATTACCTGAGCCCTTGAGTTGCCTAGAGCAAAATAGTTAAGGCATATATTTAGTGATTTTAATGTTAACAGGTCATTGATGCGATAACATTTGGACCCAATTTGCCTGACTTGACACATGGAATAAAACATGGGCGTAGGAAGCATCCTCAATGTGGGTGGAGACAATTTAACAGGGGGTGTGGGCAGGTGGTAGACCTCACCTCCTCTAGGGGGGTCCGGGGGTAAGGTCCCCCGGGACGATTTTTTTTTAAATGTTGAAGTTAAATGCATCAATCTGGTCCATGTTGAGAGCAAATTAGGGACTAAATCTATGGCAGTCAGTAGGGGCTTGGACTGTGAGCCGTAGGGTCGCCGGTTCAAGTCCCCGACCAGACCTATTTGGAGTGTGGACTTCTACTTGGAGAGGTCCCAGTTCACCTCCTGCGTGGTGTCCTTGAGCAAGGTACAAGACATCCCCTCCTTCCCCCCTCACTCCCATTGCTCCGCGGGCGCTGTGCAATAGCTGCCCACTGCTCCTAGTGCTAGGATGGGTTAAAAGCAAGCGGCAAACTGTGGGGTAGAGCCGGGAAGCCAATACGGAAGTGCCACACACTGCAGTTCATATATTGGCCGATAGGCGATGGCTGCAGAAAGGAGCAATTTCCTTAGACCCCCATGTTAAAATGCCCCGATTTTACAGCAGAAAAAAACATGTGAAACATGTGTAGAAACCCCTGGCTCCATACATTTTATTATCGATATAGTTAGATTCCACCTTCATGATTATGGATCTGTGAGTGAATTGTTTTCTAACGCGACCCTTTATATTTATATTAGGTCTTAAAGTTTGTGCATACATTAGGGCGTGGTTCACTTTGATTGACAGATACGTGCCTCACTGTCAGCTAACAGCAACTTGTCCAATCTGCTAGGCTACAACCATAGAGGCTACAATGTTAGTTAGTTGTAGTTACTGTACTTGATCCTTTAGCTGTGTTCGTGGTGATCGTGCCTGTTAGGGAATATTGTTACAAATACCAGATAATTAAAATGTCGTGCTGTGCGCTTGAATGTACTAACAGATCTTCTAAGAAGTCTACTTTCAGCTTTTTTCGGTGAGTAAAATGATAATATTATACATGTTAACCCCGTTAGCAGGTGTTTGTGTGCTTGTTAGCTTAGCCTGTTATGTAGCTTATTAGCCAGCTAAGGACGTAACCCTTTATACATATATACAGTTTAGTTTATGATTCAGCCTTGGGTAAGACTTTTATACTATATGGCTATGACGCCCATAATGCTAAACGGGAGCAAATGTTTAAAAGGGGTGGGCCGCCGGAAGTCCACGCCGCCGAAGCTAACGGGGCTGCAGGGTGCTAGCTCGCTAGCGCGTCCCGGCGGCCGTAGCTAGCACCCAGGGGCTCCGTTAGCTTCGGCCAGCGGCGGAGTCCGGCGATATAACTGGAGATCAAGGAATGCATCGTAACGCGGACTTGGTTCGCCTGCAGCCCGCTGTAGTATTAGCTAAATAAATGATGTTGAGCAAGGCTTATTAAGCTGAACACCGCCACAATTATTCTGCTATGTATCGGTACTTATTTTATTTTTATTAACGTGTGAATGACAAGCATTAAGAATAATACCAAATAGCTAATTATCTTGCAGATTGTCTCGTTGATTATGAATGTAACGTTTATATAGTGGAACTACACTGTTTTATCAAAACCAAAGTGCCACGCAGTGACTTGGTATGCATGTATTTCAGCAGGAAATGTGCAACCTAGATGACATTTACCAACACAGACTATATAGAAATATTTGTAAAAGTTGTTTCATGCGTTACTAAGTGAATATGGCATTAACCCTCCTGTTGTCTTCGGGTCAAATCTGACCGATTTACTACTTTCATCAATCATGTTTTTACATTCGATTGATACTGAGAGCATGTTAGCTTAGCTTCTTAGCCTGAGCTAGGACTCGAACGTCACGCTCGTTGGCAGCAGGTCCCGCCCTGTCCCGCCTCAGCTCCGCCTCAGCTCCTTCTCTTTGCCCTTATTTGGAGAAGGCGGGAGTGTAGACTCTGACGACACCGTCGAGCCGTTAGTGGCGACTCCGTCCTACTAAGGGCTTCACGGCAACTCTGCAGAATCCTATGGGTGACGTCACGGACCCCTACGTCCATTTATATATACAGTCTATGGTTAAAAGCAGAGAACACATTTCACTGTGTGCTGTGTGCTCTGCATGTGTGACCATTAAAGAGGGTTTCATCCCTCCCAATTCTTATTCTTCTTCTCTCTTCTTCTTCTTCTCTCTTCTTCTTCTTCTTCTTCTTCTTCTCTTCTTCTCTCTTCTTCTTCTTCTTCTTCTTCTTCTTCTTCTTCTTCTTCTTCTTCTTATTCTTCTTCTTTCTTCTTCTTCTTCTTCTTCTTCTTCTTCTTCTTATTCTTTCTTCTTCTTCTTCTTCTTCTTCTTCTATGTAGCTTTTCTTTTTAATGACTGATTTTAAATGCCATTTTCTTAATTCTCTTCATTTTTTTGTAAAGCACTTTGACTTGCCTTGTGTTGAAAAGTGCTATATAAATAAATTGCCTTGCCTTGCCTTGCCTTCTTCTTCTTCTCTTCTTCTAACCCATATAAAACAGAACTGTAAACAGATTAACTTTTTCTTTCAAAATGTATTTGAACAGCAAGTGGAGGCAAAAGTGACTGCACCCAAAACAATAAACCTGCTAGCTAACTAGCCTAAACTCAGTAACAGAATGTGGGCAACACGTTCTTCTCCACAGCCGCGCGACCTCTGAGTCAGACGTCACTTCCCCCTTTTCTATCCTACGGGTACAGCCGTACAGCCACTCCCCCTGAACCCTGTTGTAAGAACATAATACACTTTTTGGGGATGCAGCTTGGGATGTGAGGACATGGCTTAGAAAGGGCGTGTCGCCTTCTGTCCTGTCAGTGTTGGCAGGACATGAATTAAAATGTCGAACTCGGACTTCATTTTAAGGACATTTCGGCCAGGGGTGATGAGCTATATTTGTTTAAGCACCGGATTGGCAAACAGGATCTGCTGCCCGCAGCTGTTTTATAGAAGGAAAACCTCCCTTCACTTCATGAAATCTCTGCAGCGGCCAGGGGGCAGCGGGAGGGTTAACTCAGCCTCTGAGAAGAGGAGCGTGCAGTGCCTTTCACGCACCGCCTTCACTGTGTTTACATTGTGGGGTAATATTTGTATGTATTCATATTAGCAAACTATGGATGAGCTTTAAAATGGAATAAGTGTTGTAAAACTGTGAGCTGGAGTTGGGGCTGTTTGGAGTAAACAGGGTTTTATTGCTCTGTGGGGGAGGTGTAGGTTATGCAGGTTCTTGAGACCTTTTGGTTGTGAAGTGAGCCCTGTTTGGTCTTCCTGCTGGCCAGCGTTGCGTCGCCGAATGGAGACGACCGGAAAAGATGACCAGCTGACCCTAACCCTTAAACCCCTCCTTCTTACTCCGGCATATCTCCGGTTGATCCCTGGCTTTCTGCCCTCTTCTTCACATGCTGCCCCGGGTTGAAAGTATCTCTGCAGTATGCGAACCAGTGCAGGAGTAAGCCGGCATTACTCTTTAAGCATTACAATATAACTGTAATATATCATGTTGTATTGTAATGATTGTATTGCATTGTCATATTGCCATTAAAGTAGATTATTGTTAACGGTACTTTGTAGATATGGATTCCTTCCTGTATTATAACCAGCTGGATAGGGACGCGCGGAGATTTGAAAAGCGGCCCAGTTTGCCCTCCCAAATCTCTAACAACCTTCAGAATCATTAGAAAGGCTAAAGAGCGGTGTGGCTGATGTGTTTTAACCACCACCCTCTACACACACACATACACACACACACACAATTTAAACTCAGACTTTTGTTCCTCCATGTTACGTTGTTATTGTTTCACTGAGCGGACCCGCACATTTTTTCAAACGCTCCCCTTTTGGTCCATCTACGCGGTTTTGTACGTGTGATGATTCGGCGTACCTTTAGTAATGAATATTAAATGTTGTGAGGAAATCTTTCCACCAATAATTCCAATAAGTAATCCAAAATGTATTCACTTCAGGTTTACGAAAGAACTGTAATCAGATTACTCGTTTTTCAAATGTAACGCGAGCTGAATACAGTTACTTGATTTTTGTATTCTGATTACGTAACACCGTTACATGTATTCCGTTACAACCCAACCCTGCCACACCCCACTGGGCTGGGCTGGGTCGGAACACTTACAAATGTGGGCCCTCGGCCCACACACAGCACCGGCCCAACGGGGAAACTCCTGTTATTCCCAATGGCCAGTCTGCCCCTGCTGGCTGAGCTCACTGAGGGTCTGTTGGTGTGACCGGTCTTTGCGTCTGACTGCAGAGGGTTGCTGGGCTTTCCTTTACTCTGTTCCAATTTCATTGTCTGAAATTAACTTGTTTATTCTCTTGTGATGCAGGTCTTGAAAATCAAGGTATACGGTCTCCACAAGTCTTCCTGGTGTCCAGCTTGATCTCCACCTGTATGACTTCCATCTGTTAATGGAGACCCTGGAGAGAGAGCTTCCTGCACACAAGAGATATGCTCTGCTGTTAGCCATGCCCAATGTCAATCTTGAGATCATCAACAAAAGAAAGAGGCTCTCCAGTCAAGAATAAAGTACCTAGCTGCTGCATCTGCACTCGGAGTACTTTGTACCGATCCTGGGCTCTACTTTTGCTCTTGATCTAAACATGCTGGTTACTAATGCCATAGTGTACAAAATACTTTTGGTCTTGATCCCCGAATCACTGCAGAGTCTTGCTGATAGTGCACGTGTGCCTCTTGCATGATCTTCAAGAGCAGAGATGAAATCACCTGTGGCTTTGAAGAAATAAGCGTGTGAGGTTATCCTTAACACACTGAATGTGTCTGGGTTTCACGTTACTTTCATTAGCAGCAGAGAGGAAGCGTTCAGTTGTATTCCAGTTTTTGGATTATTAAAGCAGTAGCAGCACCAGTAGCGGCAGCAAACAGCAGTTCAGCCAGCAGCAGCAACCAGAAGTAGCAGCAGCAACAGCTAGCAGCAGCAGCACCAGCACCGAGCAGCAGCAGTAGCAGCAGCAACAGCAGCAGCAACAGCAGCAGCAGCAGTAGTAGCAGCAGCAGCACCAGTAGCAGCAGCAGCACCCAGCAGCACCAGTAGCAGCAGCAGTAGCAGCAGTAGTAGCAGCAGTAGCACCAGTAGCAGCAGCACTAGCAGCAGCAGAACAGCAGCAGCAGCAGCAGCACCAGCAGCAGCAGTAGTAGCAGCAGTAGCACCAGTAGCAGCAGCACTAGCAGCATCAGCAGCAGAAGCAGCAGCATTAGCAACAGCAGCAGCAGCAGCACCAGTAGTAGTAGCAGCACTAGCAGCAGCAGCAACACAGCCAGCAGCAGTAGTAGCAGCAGTAGCACCAGTAGCAGCAGCACTAGCAGCATCAGCAGCAGCAGCAGCAGCATTAGCAATAGCAGCAGCAGCAGCACCAGTAGTAGTAGCAGCACTAGCAGCAGCAGCAACAGCAGCAGCAGCAACACCAGTAGCAGCAGCAGCAGCAGCAGCAACAGCAGCAGCAGCAGCAGCAGCAGCAGCAGCAGCAACATCAGCAGCCATCTCTTATGCCTCCACCTACAGCGCTCTCACTACTATCCTCAACATGCTCGCTGAGGATGCTCAGAGGGTATTCAGAAAGGCCATCCAAGTGTGATATTGGAAGGGGATTGGCCTTGCCTTCAATGTCACATAAAACTCCAGTGTACAAAAGAGATTTATATTTTTTCTGAGTAGATTTCATTTAATTTTCTTTTATAAAAAATGAACTGCAAAACATAAACTTCCAGCTGCACATTGCATCATACAGTACAGGCTGAATGATCTGCAGACTGTAGATTATATTTTTTAAAAAGCACTTCAAAAAGTAAATGTAGGCTTGTAACTTAGTCACCAGCACTTGCAATGATATGGCTTGCTTGAAGTGAATACATCTGCACTTTCTTGTTGGTCGGAGTTTTAATCTTTATGCTTTTACACTTATTGCAAGTCGCTATGGATAAAAGCTTCAGCTAAATGTAATGTAGTGAGTCGCTGCCTCTCAGTGGTGAAAGTGAGGAACTACAACACATCATCATTCAGAGGAAATATGCAATTGAATATATATCATCATTATTCTTACAACGACTGTATCACTGTTATTAATAAGATTTAAGTACTATGTTGAAAGCATTTTTGATCTTTTCCACAGGGTTTATCACGTGGAAAAGATTACATCAGTTAGTAAGAATTACTTTTATTATCAATAAATAAACCTTTTTTTTTCAAGCAGTAAAACATTTGGTCTTTAAAATATCTGAAAAATATAAAAATATTACATTTAAAATGTAAAATTAAAATATTAAAGTATTTCAAAATATTTAAATTGTTGTAAAATAATTCCTGTTAATGGGCAATGAATAGACTAATAATAATAATAACAACAACATTATTGCACACTTTGGAGCATGACACATTTATACCTAACTAAAAAGTGTTAGCATTTAGCTGTGTAACTCTAACAACTCTTTTACAATCTAATCACATTTTAAATGTTGCAATAGTTCATAACATAATAGCCTTTGGATTTAAACAACCACTCTTAGTTTCACTTTCATTTATCTTGAAAGCACACACCTCAGTGTGACTCTCTCTAGCTTTCGTTTTCCGAGGCTCACAGCTGATCTGAAGTGCTTTGTGAGGGATCAGTCAGCTGGGACTCGGGCAGGTGGTGTGACAACATGTTTTCCTGGGGTGAGGACAGTCAGAGGGGCTTCAGGCTAAAAGATGGCTCAGAAACGGCCCCCCCTACAGCAGAGGGGCTCCATCATCTTCAGCTCGGGTATCATATCACGGCTCTGTCTGCGGGGCGCACTGTGCTCGCTTTCCTCAAAAGTAATGGCAACGCGTTCATCATCGCCATCAGAGAGAGCCCAGCTGGGAGCAGAGTGAGAGGAAAACAGAGTGAGTGTTAGTCCAGATACTCTTCGGACTCTACGATTTATGTACACCATGTTTTACTTTTACCAGCTCAGCTCGTGTAAAAGCTGTATTGGCGGAGAAGTACTCACATCTTGTACTCAAGTAGAAGTGTCAGTGGCGTAACTATCGACGGCAGGCAATACATACGTAAAGTACCAAGAGTAAAAGTAGCTACTTGTTATGCAAATTGGCTAATTCCAGAATAATATATATGATATGTTTTAGAATGATTGATCATTATAAAACGTGTTATCAAAGCTGGTAAATGTATAGAGCTAATTTCCTGCCATAACTCCACAAACAAACTAAACAGGTTTTACAAATACCTCATGATTCACTAACAAACACAATGTGGTTTGCAAATACAAAACCCCATCTACAACTAATGCATTTAGTTTTGCAAAGAAAAAACGTATCTATCAAACAAACACATACATGTTTTCTAATAAATCATGTTTCAGAGACAAATTCAGCATAGGTTTTACAAGTACAACACTTTTTTTAGCATGGAGAGACGCAAATACTTTGAGCGCATCTATGATACGTCGCCGTGACGTCTGACATCGTCGTGACGTCGCCTGTATTCTACGTCAACCCATTCAAAATTGATGGAGGCGTTGGCGCACGTTGACAGTTAGTTCTCCGCTCAGTCACCTTAGTTATCTGTTCTTTGGCACAAATCACACCTCATAGCTGTCAGACATCAGCTGTGCGGTGTCACACAAACGGACGTCGCTTCACGTGACGCTCCGGAGGAAGGACGTCCCATTGCTCTTAAAACTCATTTCCCTGCTTCTCGTGGTTTCCTTGTGATGGACGCAAGGATTCCATTTAATCGACCTGAGATGCAGCCAAAGTGTATGAGCCAGCCACGGCGGAATATTCCGCCATGAGAAGAAAAAAGTGTTGTACTTGTAAAAAAAGGGTGTACTTGTCAAACCTATATGCTGAATTTGTCTGAAACATGATTTATTTGAAAAGTGTGTGTTCAATAGATACGTTTTTTCTTTGCAAAACTAAATGCATTAGTTTCTAGATGGTGTTTTGTATTTGCAAACCACATTGTGTTTGTTAGTGAATCATGAGGCATTTGTAAAACCTGTTTAGTTTGTTTGTGGAGTTATGGCAGGAAATTAGCTCCATATAAAGGTGCAGCTAGTTTGAATGACTTTGTAAACTGCAGGGTAGCTTGTGAATTTACTCCAGGTGGAACTAAAGTCTGATTTAAGAGTTGATTATAGTTCACATCATTAATCCAAATCTGTAAAGTAACTAAAGGTATTACATACATGTAGTGGAGTAAAAGTACACCATTTACCTCTGAATTTTAGCGGTAGAAGTACAAAGTAGCATAACATTGAAATACTCAAGTAAAGTACAAGTACTTACATTTACTTAGTTACTTTACAGCACTGTACTTTTCTCTAGTTTTACTATTTTATTATACATGTGTTTGAGTCAAATAACACTTTTAATAAGTGGAAGAAGTATTCAAATCCTTTACTTCCGTAAAAGTACTAATACCACTGTAAAAATACTCTGACAAGTAAAAGTCCGGCAACCAGCAAAATGCAGTATAAAATCTAAAATGAATAAAATAAAAAATGCACAAAAAAATCTAATTATTTAATATAAATTACAAAATGACTTAAATGTTCAGAGACGCCAATAAATCCTCTCTTAATTGGATAGATGATTAATCGACTAAGCTGTTCTTGGACAAAATGTTGGCTAGTTTAATTTGTAACACAATATCATATTTTATAAACGTGTGTTTTTTATACCATAATATGAATTTGTAGTGTAACTATAGTACATTCACTGTAAATTACAGAGTTTTAAGTGAAAATACAGTACATTTATAGTACAATACTTAAGTAGATGGACTTATTTACATTTCATCACAGCATGTCATCTATAAATTAATGACAACATTCCTACAGAATTCCAAATAAATACATTATAATTTAGATGTATTTGCAATTGGTTAAAATAGCAAATAATATTCATTCAGATATTCCCAAGAAAATAAGTTAATATTCATTTTCAAACAACAGTACTTATGTTTAAACACATCAAGGGCTCCCAAAAATGATATAGAGGAATAACCCTGATTTACAATCACAGCTTTCATTCACGTTTGTAACCATCCATATTTGTCTTGATGATGTCTGAGGTGTTCAATGAACAAATGGATGATTTAGCATATTTTCTATAGTTGTAACCAATCAGCTGCATCCCTTACACCTGCTGTGTTTCTGTGTTTTCTCAGAGTTTGTGAAGTTTAAAGACAAGATCAAGACTGTGAGTTGTGGAGATGATACGGTCACACTGCTGTCCAAGGGAGGACAAGTTCTCTGTGTGGACAGAAAGCTCGTTCCAAGGTGAGGAGCCACTGAGGTTATGCGTCAATCAGAGTCCTGCATTTGCAAGTAAATGTATTAAATTGTGAAAATGTGTCTTCACTTGGATTCTTGTTCTCTCAGGCCTATGCAGACTTTGTGTGCAGTTTCTCAGGTCGCCTGTGGGAGCCATCATTCAGTCGCCCTGACCAAAGGTACAGTAAAGGCCGTGGCTCAGGGGGAGAGCCGTTTCCACACATGTGGTGGTCACATCGTACATGATAAGCTGAGGGCCGAATCATCTCTTAGGGGTTGACCAATCACAACAGAGCCCGCCAGCTAACCAATCAGAGCAGACTGGGCTCTGGTTTCAGACAGAGGGTGAAAAGAGGTGCTGCAGCACAGGCAGTATGAGAAAAATAAAGAGCTTTTTGAACATTAAGCATGGAGACATGTCACAGTAGAGACCACAAATACTGATATGAACCTGAAAATAAGAATAATATGAACCCTTTAAATGTTATTTTATACTTTTAATGCAAATTCATACTTTTTTTAGGTTGATATAAATATGTTTTATTTTGTTTATTTTTCGCTTTATGTTATTTAAAAATGGAACAACTGTCACGGAAACCGCATTTTCTCCAGGATTTATGATCCTAAGGTATGGACATCGGCTCCAAAAAACCTAGTATTGGACGGTAATAATAATTATTATAATAACAAAACCTGTCTCTCAAAAAATCATTGATTACAAAGTAGTTTGCCAACAAAAGGTGCATTAGGGAAGTTCTATACAAGTCACGGTGTTTTCTCCACAGATGGTCAGGTGTATACATGGGGCCAGGGCTCCAGGGGCCAGCTGGGTCTGGGGGAGAGACAGCCCAGCACCGAATCCCCCCAACACCTGAACTCTCTGTCAGCGGTCCCCCTGGTGCAGGTCGCTGCAGGGGGGGGGCAGAGCTTCCCTCTCTGTCTCTGGAGCGGTGTTCAGCTGGGGCAGCAACCACTGTGGGCAGCTCGGCCTGGGAGACACTACAGGTACATGTCAAGTACTATTGACACAGCACTAGCATTTCAAAACCTATTTATACTATTTACATTAGAACTTGTTATTCTTTTTTTACAGACAGACATACACCCACTCCTGTTCATTGTCTGAACTTGAAGAAAACTACCCACATTGCCTGTGGAAAGGCCCACACGGCCACTTTGACAAAGGTTAGATTCCTGATTTTGCCAACCTGCAGTCCTTTTTTCTTCTGGACAGCAGACATAGTACACATACAGTAACATAATTCAAATGTGCTCATAAAATCACACCCTCGTGCAAATGCAATAGGTTTTCAATGGCTCAGAGAACCAAGAGGATAATTTTTTTTTTTTGTTTTTAAGTAAAATGTCTGTGGTTAAAAGCACGCAATAACTCAAAAACACAACAAACCAATAAATCGTCCAATACTTATTTTAAATATATTCAAAAAGTCTTGAAAAAGTTAAACATGCTTTAACAAATTATGTTTAGCTGTTCGGGTTTAAATATGACGAGCTTTAGCTTACAGATGCTTATTTTTATAGCCATATATATGTATATACAAATACAAAAAATCACGAAAAACTAAAAGACTACCCTGCTTCGGCTAATCGGTGCTGGTCAGAGAAGTGAGTCTGAACCAAAACAAGTATGATGTTAACAGCAGACTATGAATTATTGGCTAACAGAACAAAAGGTCTCCTATCATGCAAAATGCACTTTTTTGATGTCTTTTATATGTGTCCCCCGGTGGTGTCAGGGAACTCACGCAGTGTCAGAAAACAAATACCTCTCTCTTTTCCTCCATACCCAAATCTCTAAAACGACGTGTTTTTGGCACGTAATATGGTCTTGTTACATTAGCAAGCATCGCTAACACTCAGAGCTAACCTGTACTGGAGAGCATGTGTGTAAAAAAGCAGGAAATAAAAAAGGAACTCACCCTTTCTAATAAACCCGCCAGCAGAAAAAGCATTTGAGCTCCCATACTGTTCAGAAAATATCCTTGATGTGGTTTGCAACATGATGGCATTTAATCACGGCAGCATTTAGCTGTATCTCGTTAGAATTCTGAGCAGGCATTAGCACCCCCCTCCTCTTTTTTTTTCAATCTAAGGACCCCAGAATCAGGTTTCTCTAACAGGGACAAACAGAAGGATGTGAGGGGTGTCTAAAATGCATGATCTGTTTGGTATTTTGAGAAAAACACATCATAGACATCTTAAAAATATATATTTGTATATCTCTGAGACCCATAATATATGCCCTAAAAATAGCATGTTAGGAGATCTTTAAGGACCTTTTATGCAATACTGGAAACTTCTAAGACCCCGTACCGAGAACGTCTAACACAAGTACATGCGTAACAATGTCTGGTTGCCTCCTCAGGACGGGTGGAGTGTTTACGTTTGGCTCTGGTGAATATGGACAGCTCGGGCACAAACTCATTCAGAGATGAAACTACGACCTCGGCTTGTTGCAGAGCTCTGGGGGGCAAAGGTCACCCAAGATCGCCTGTGGAAGGTACAAGAATATCTCACCTTTTATGAAGCAATCATGGAAGCAATTTTCATTCAAACTATTGCAAGAGGCCGGTCAAAGTGTGTTTGTGTCTGCGGTGACATTAAAATGATTGCCCTTTGCTCAGACATCACACATTCGGTGTTGCACAGGACTCCAAGAGGGTCTACTCCCTTTGGGTGTGGAGAGAGCAGGGGCAAGCTGGGACCCGGAGAGGAGAGTCATCCGTCTGTGCCGCTACCTGTTCAACTGCCACAGGGTATCTACACGGTGAAAGATAGATTAAATAATGCAAACGCAATGAATGACTTCACAGTGATTTCACCTTTATTCTGTTTTATTACAGACACCAACGTGTAATTAAAAAACATCTTTGCAGGGGAAACAGCTGTTCATTTGCAGTTTGCACATCTAATGAGGTACCAGCACAATCATACAGTACAGACCATAATGGTCATGGGTTTAATCACGTAACATTCATTCAACTGTCTATTTTGCAGGATGTTCAGGAGGAGGCAAACACTGTTACAGACTGTTTTGATCACATGATGGACAAATGGACCGCTGAGTGTGATTCAAAGGCTGGAAACAGATGAAACAGTAAGTATATCAATTATATTATTACTTACATGTATAATAGTAGCCAGAAGTTATATGGACTACATGGCAGAAATGATTGATTGGATCTGTAGCGGTTAATAGTGCAATGAACTAAGATTTCAAATCTTCACAGGGAAATTCACAGAATGTTTTCCTCTGCTTCCTGTCTGAATGCAAGCTTCCCTTGAGAAAAGGTAAACACAGTGCACAAACTTTATAATCATTTCTTTTTATCTGGTGAAATTGTAACATTTCCTTTTAAGCTGTGCTTGTTGAATGGCTATAGAGATGGCCATGTTGATCTGTGAATGAAATCCACAACTTTATACATCTTCAACATGCATGGTTACAAAACATTTTTAAAATGCATCCTCCTCAGGATTCTAGCACAACATGGGTGCACAGACATTTACTGGAAAATAATTAATTACAAAAAGTTCCAGGAAGCAGCCAGCAGGTTACTTTGTGTTTAGCGCAAATGAGCTAAACACTTACCTAAGAAGTTGATTAAGTTAAAAAGACCTGCTAGCATGGATGCTGTGTGCTGCATGTTAGAATACCAGTCATTTTCCCTTTCCATTCATTGGACCGAGCAGGAGATCGGAGGCAGGGCTTAAGCAAAACACAAGTGCGCACCCTCCATGGGCCGAGTTACTTTAGCTCTCGAGAGGGCAGGCCGTTTTGGCTTCTTGTGCCACTGAGCAGTTTTCATAGGAACGAACGGGGTCCCCGCCTCCCAAGGTATCCAGTTCTCTTTATACATCCATGCTGTAAACATGTTAGCCTGCTGAAGTTAGCATTTATCTGAAAGCACCAATATGCCTAAGGTAAAGTCTCACAGAAGTTTTTTTTTCTTTGTTTTTATAGGCAAAGATGAACATTTCCCAGACTTCACCCAAAGTACTGTGGCCTGAACCTGCCACTTGCACAACTTGCTTTCCACAAACTGGTAAAGAAGGACAATGTGTTTGCAGAGGTAAGGGTAGGTTTGGGCTTCTTAAAGTTGTTCTACCTAAGACAAGCGTCTTTGAGCACTGGGAAAAGCGCTATACAAATTCAATGTATTATTATTATTATTACCTTCAGTATGTTCAGTATTTGTAACTAGTACAAATTGTAAGGCAGGATTAACTCTATAATTACTCTTGTCTAAAGTGTTAAGAATGACCAAAGAGTCCTGATAGGTACTTATCCCTTGCTGTGCTTCTCGAAACTAACAGGTTGAGGGTGCTCTCTTGAACTTGCTCCCCTCCCTTGATAAGCAGCCAGTGGGAGTGGAGGGGTTGAGGATCTTCCTGATTCTCAATGAGCTCCTGCATGTGATCCAGAACCACAAACCTCCACTAAAGAGCATAAAGCTCGCTAAGGCGATCGCTGCTGCTATACTGAACTTGTCTGCTGGCAGCCTCCAGGTCATAGGTAACCTCACCTTTACACAATCAGCAACATATATTTTTTCATACTAACTGTTTTTTGAAAATGCATTACACATCAGACGTTTTTAGGTCATTGTGGTTTACATGAAGTCAAACCCCAATTTTAATACTATTTATTTCTGAAAATGTTCTGCAATAGTCATTACATTTATTTACATGCAACTATTACCTTCCTACAGTATAGCGCGCATTTTATTGGTGGTCACAGGGAAAGATGCATGCGTACAATCTTGCACAATTTATCTCACAGCCTATTTCGTGGTCACTGTCCTAACACTATGTCAGAGCTGCGGTTTTAAGTTACTGCCTATGCAGATGTCAATATCTGGTTGTTTTCTTCACATCAAAAGCAAAAAAACACATTTTTATTTTTGAAGCTGTTGGAGAAAACTAAATGTAATTTTCACCACATTACCCACCACCGACCTTGAAATTAAGACTTCCGTTGAGATATTTTTGTTTGCAGTGGATGATTTTAAATACAGATAGCAGGCATTTAAGAAACAAAGAGTAAGTTGTTAGATGAAGAGTTGGACAACAGAATGCACTCCTCAAAATTCCACCCAAGGTAACCACATTTTACGTAGCCCTGCTGTTGTGGGGACTTCTGACCCGGAAGTTCAAGAGAACTGGATACAGCGTTTGGAGGTGGATCCCCGTCCATTCCTTTAGAGGTGCTCAGCAGCACATGAAGACAAAATGACCCGACTTGAGTTCAATAATCCTCAGATCATCGTTGAACCATGGCCAATAGAGAATGCGTTTTCCTTAAGACCCGCCTCCAATCTAATCCGTCACTGCCGGTTTCATCTTAATCAAATGAATGCAGGGGAAAATAACTCTGGATTTGCTTTTAACACATTTACACACTTTTAGGACCTAATCATTTAAAAAAAATTGGCAATTCAAATGTTCATTCTTGGTTTATGAAAAAAAAATATGCTGATTGTCAAGGTATGACATCTGCTCAGGGTGTTTCGTGCTCACTGACGTTAATGACTGCATATCTCCATGTTGTGTTCCTCAGGGGACTGGTGGTCCTCACTGCCATCCTCCACCATGAGGTAAACATGTTGAGGTATGGAAGCAGGCCCTCTCAGTGATCCTGTTCAACGAACCTGTGCATCGAAGCTCAGAAGTCAAAAATCTGCTACTAGTCCTCCAGTTGATGTACAACGTGAGTATCCGTTATTGGCTGAATTTTCATAAATGTCACACAGCATGAACCAGTTATCCTCCAGACTCTAACAACAAAATAAAGCTTTTAAAATTGCTGAACCTTTTACTTAATAAATGTAACACTTATTTTAAGGTCAACCACAGGATTGCAGAACCTCAAAAGATGCCAGAAAGTGAATTTTGTTTGTTGTTGACAAACGAGACATTTTATCTTGAGGATTGGCAGCTTTGGCGTTTCGGATCATCATACAAGGTAACAAAAAAAAAGAGAGAAAAGCTAAAATGTTCATTCAGAATAGTCGTTATTAGTAGTAGTAGACAGATACACCAGCGAGGGTAAAGCACTCACTCAAGTAGACCCACACAAACACACACTTAAAAACCATCTATCTAACCTTTTTTCCCTTTCAGAAGAATACTGAGCCACTTATCCTTTGCAGCTTTCCGTCTGTGATGGACCTGGAGTCGAAGAAGTATGTTTTTGACCTGAATGCTCAATTCACCAAGGTAAGTCAAGTTCTGTACCTCATAAGAATTAAGAAAAACCCACCGAAGTAGGCATTAAGTTACACAACAGAGAATGGGTAAAATAAGTTATGAGAAATGAAATCTGGAATTGTCCTGTATTCCAGACCAACGAAATGGCTCATATTTTTGGGGAAATCCAAAGGGAATTCGGATTCCCTATGCCTAAAGACCTGCTTTTGTAGTGAAGGTGAGGCGAGGATCAGTTTTGAAAGACACCTTCGAATATCTGGCTTTTACAACTCCGAGTGACTACAAGACTCCACTGATGGTAATATGGTGGTTTAATTCTGCGTGAAGTCACATTAAAAATCTTGCATTATTGTTTAGTGACTCTTGTATGAGCTGCTGTATATTTTTTGCCTTTCATCTTGTAGGTTTATTATGATGGAAATTTGCCCGGCTGGAACGATTTCTATGGCTACGTGAAAGACTTTTTTTACGAAGTGTTTCACGAGATGGTTTCAGCTGAAACCGGGATGTTCATGTACAATGACTCCAAGACACTGGCATGGTTCCCATCCAAAGTAAGATGATAATTATGCAATGATAAAAAGGATCCAATGATCATACCACAAAAGTAATTATCATCCTGGTATTTCTCCACTTTTCTGTTAAACATTGTCTCTCCTAACAACACCAGGCAGCACCAGAGGACCAGAGGTACCTACACTTTGGGGTTCTGTGTGGATTGGCCTTGTACAACCAGTGTATCGTTCACTTACCCTTCCCACTGGCTCTGTTCAAGAAGCTGCTGGGTGTGAGGCCTTCACTGGGGGACATGATGGAATTCAGGCCCTGTGTTGGAGAGTAAGGAAATTCATTTAAATCCCACACATTTTGGGTTTGACGTGCAGATTTTTGGTCAGAATATACAGTACATTTTTAAAAGCTGAAATGTAATTCCTTTTATCGTGTTTCAAGGGGTCTGAAGAACATTCTGGAAGACTACACAGATGATGAAATAGAAATCCTCAACATGGATTTCTCAGTATGTGTTTTACAGTCTTCATCCTCTTTCTGATCCAACAACAGATATTTATTTCCCAATGCAGTGATTTCACCTTTTTCTGTTGATCACCAGATCAACTGGGATGGAACAAACGTTGACCTTGATCCTCACAATCCTGAGAAGCCTTTGACAGGTCAAAATAGGTAGGAGCAATGAAAGCATTTCTGTGACTTCCTTGTGTGTTTTGTTATTTGTCATCAGATTACAATCTTAAATAGTATGTAAGTCAACATCTTGGGTTTTATATATAAGCTTTAAATTTCACCGGACATTACACGCCTAAGTTTGACCTTGGCATAATTTGTGTTTGCTAGTGTCACTCAACTATACGTGCTGGCGAGGAGGTGAAACTTATCTCCATGTAGATACCAACAACAACAAACAACAATTAACATATATTTATTTGATTTAATTGTAATATATGTATCAGAATGATGCCGAAATAACAACATACTGATACAGGTTAGATAAAACCATGAATTCATGCTTTTCAAGTGTGCTTCCAAGACGGCAGACTAAAAACTTTTAAAATGTATGTTTTCGAATCGATCAGGCTAAGCTACCGTTATAGCCGCGTCATTCGCTTGATTTGCGCCACAGGGCAAATTCGCATTTATCCGCGTCTTCACATTGACCTAGGGTTGCCAACCGTCCCGTATTAGCCGGGACGTCCCGTATTTGAGACAAAAGGGGCGTGTCCCGTACGGGACATTGTTTGTCCCGGACTCCCGTGAAAAGGGGAAAATAAAAAATATGTTTCTGTTTGCGCGCAATGCAGTGTGTCTGGCTGCGTGCCTGTGTGTTTGTGTGCTGTATGCGAAGGGCACTAGGACCGCTCAGTGGACAGGGCAGGCACAATGCTCGCACGTGTGTGTGTGTGAGATTTTCTCCGGTGGGCCGCGGGCGCGGCATCATTGTTTGTGTGTCATGTCAGCCTGTTCAGTCGTGTGGGAAAATGAGCGCTGCCGGTGGAGGAGGTGATAATGAAAGAGGAGAAGAGAGAGAGGATGTGGTTCTGGGCCCTGGCCCTTCTAAAAAGAAAAGACTTACAACAAACAGTGGAAGAAAAACACTGTTGGGTAAAGCCTGTGAGTGGAGATCTGTCTCGGGTCGTGTGTGTGTGTGTGTGTGTGTGTGTGTGTGTGTGTGTGTGTGTGTGTGTGTGTGTGTGTGTGGTGTGTGTGTGTGTGTGTGTGTGTGTGTGTGTGTGTGTGTGTGTGTGTGTGTGGTGTCAGCTGATTGATGGGAAAATGCTGGGAAAATGGTTGGTTGAAGGATAACATTAAGTCTAATAATGATGTACCGTGCATGTTCACATCATGTATACTTTGCATTACTTAATACCATTTTTCAAATATTTATTTTTTAAACATTTTGGACAAAATAGCCAATTGTACATCGAGGTGCCCAGATGTCCCTAGTTGCCCACCTATCCGATTTGAACATGCTGATATACAATGTGATGTAGTAGCCTAATGCAGGTGTAAGATCATTGTGTTTGTATTGTGTTATATGCATAGTTTTCTATGCATTTTGAGGGTTTTGGGGGGTTTGACCCCTCGAACCCTTGGGTGCTGGCTCCCCCAAAAGAATTAAATAACATAACCCTAACCCTAAAACCGAAATAAAGTTTAAAAAAAAAGTAACTAAATCCGCCAGAAACCCGAAAATCTTCGCGCGCGGGGGACACATGCATGTGTCCCGTTTCTCCATTTCTGGAAGTTGGCAACCCTACATTGACCTTACATGTAGCCACGCAAAAGTTGCTTCTTATCCAGTGTGAACGCACCATAAGGCTTATATTGTAGAGAATTATGAAAGAAGATACATGACTTTTATTGGGTTTATCTGAGATTTTTCCTTTATTATAAAATAAAATTGTAGGGCAAAAAACTAAAACAATAAGCTTAAAGATAGCAGGTAACTTTGTAGACAGAATTTCTCTTAAATCATTGCTTTTACCTGCTAGGAAATACCTTTAAAATCTAATCATTTATTTCTGACGCTAACCCGTAAAAAGATATTTACATTACATGTCACTTGTTAGACGCTTTTATCCAAAGCGACTTGCATACATTCAGTACTGTGGACAATCCCCACAGGAGAAATTTGGGGTGAAGTGTCTCAGGGACACAACGACATGCTGACTTCAGTGGGGTTTGAACCTGTTCAGCGCACTAATTCACTGAGCCACAGCCTCCCTATTTAATACATTGATTGATTCATTTACATCAGTCTTGGTATGTGTAACACTATAATCAGCACCGGCTCAGTCTTATCTTAATCAGGCTGAAGAAAATGATATCCTCCTGTCAGAGCATAGTTTGACAGGATCTGAACCTGATCTTGTTGACTTGTAACTTCAATCTGCTGAACAGGAAGGAGTATGTGGAAGCCTACGTGAACCATGCCTTCAACACATCAGTGGAAGGTGTGTTTCAGGAGTTCAAGCGGGGCTTCTTCCAGGTGTGTGACCAGGATTTGGTGAAGCTGTTCCGACCACGGGAGCTGCAGGATGTGCTGGTGGGCAAAGACTTCAATGACTGGGCCAGGCTGAAACAGGTACAGTCCAAAACAAGAGCTTCTCATGTTCTAGTTTTCGCTTAAACCTGTCCCATCCTTTTGTGCTTTATTTGAATACTACAACAGTCTACTGTATATAAGAAGTATGTGTCTGTTTCACTGTATTTAGGTCACAGTTTATGAGGGGGAGTACGACACGACCCCTCTACACCCCACCATACAGATGTTTTGGGAGGTTTTTGATGATCTAACGGAGGATCAGAAGAAAGCTTTCCTTTGTAAGCATTTTACCTGATTTTAACAGATTAAACCAATGAGAAATTATAATTTTCATGAAGCAATAATGTAGATGGTTCATGAAAGTTTCACATTTACTATGTACATCTGGTAAGTTATGTAACTGTTGGTTGCTTGGAGTCAATACAACTTCTTATAGTTGCCTTAAAATCTTCTAATGAGCCACTATAAATTGGTGCAGGAATGAGTCCTAAAACCCGGAATGACTTATTCCACATCTTACAGGCTTCTTATCAATTCTGGTTCCTTTGTCTTATCACAACTTCTGTGTCATATACATTGCAGTTGTTAAAAAGTGTCCAAATGAGACTACTTCATCTATTTCCGTCAAATATTAGCCACCTTTAGCTTTTCGGTGGTGATGCACAGCATGTGACCATCATGTACGTTGTATAGCCTAATTAGCTTTTTACTTCTGGCAAATGTCCTAAACTTCTATATGTCATGTAAATGGTGGTTGCTAACAAGGGACTAAATACATTTCTAAGCGTCATTACGCCAACACAAATCCGCTTTTAGCTTAGCAGTGTTGATGCACAGCCATGTAACTTTGATGTCGTTTATAGCAATATGTTTATTATATATAATTATTTCTGCTGTTACATTTACACTTCATAAATCTTCAAGTTGTGTTGATATGTGGAGATTATCCTGCCGAACAAAACATGTTAAATATCATAAACATGTGTTAGCCAAAAAGCTAATTTTCTGCAATATATCGAAATCCAATGGGAAAATCCCAAGCCCCCAAAAATACTTCATCACTGCACCACTCTATTGAGCGGGAATACATACAGTCTGTAGGAGCCATTTGATGGGTTTTGTTGGTGTCTCAGTTTATTTAATTTATATGTATAGTGCAATATTATTTTTGAACACTTGGTGGCGGGGTTTAGCTGCACCGGGTGTATAAAAGGGGTCATAGGTGACAGGAGGAAGAGCAAACCGATTCTACCAGCCCAGCCGGCAGATGCTCATACCACAACCCTTTGACACTGTATACTTAAACCTTGGTATGTAAAGCAATACACATCGTTCTAAACTGCAGCAAAAGACCGGAAATTCATCTGTTTGAGTCTGCATCAGGATCACTCTAAACCAGGCATCCTCAAACTACGGACTCCGGTCCGGATCCGGACCGAACCACCACTGTCTCCGGACTCTGAGCAAATTATACTTTTCATATGTATGATCTCTCTGTATTATATGTGAGACATCGCCACAACGCATTCGCAACGAGTCAAAATTCTCCGCTATGTCCACTGCAAACAGCGCTCTGCATGTCTGACTGTTCCACTGTGTTCCACCTGTGTGTGTCAACGCTTTGGTCCAATCACATTCAGCATCCAGTCAGCGTTTTTTCCCCCCAAACAATCTGCGAATCAGAGGCACAGTAGGGCGGGTCTTCGCGGACTGCGGGTGGGAAAAATGTGTGTGTCTCTTTCAACCTGTCTAAGTCAGAGCGAGAATTAAAACAAAAACAAAAAAAATTCAGAGCGAGAGTTAACAGCTCATCTAGTTCCATCTGTACTGTAGCTAGTAGCCTAGTTTCACCTACCGGGGTGGCAACTGACACCCTAAAAATAGGCCTTGCCACCCCAGTTGGCAGCTTTGTTTTGAAAGAAAAGTTGTGGCTCATCGGACATTTATGAGAGAAAGTCTCTAATGTCCGAGTGCAAGTGAATGCAGCACAAGATGCACGTCATGTAACCCCTCCCCCGGTCCTGGCGCGAGCGTGGACATACGATTTGGCGGCGATTTCATTTGAACTGGACGGCGCAAAACGAGAAGCATTCGGACCCAAGCACTGAAGGAATGAGGTATTTGCGGTCTACACTGACAGAGAAGAGACTGTCAGTTTGGCTGTACTCAGCATTGAATCAAAACGCACTAAAGCTGTTGATCTTAATACGTTTGTGAGGCGTTTTGCTGAACAAGATGGTAATCGCCGCATTCAGCTGTAATAGACATGTCAACTTGATGCTCTGCTCACGGATGAGCATACACAACTATTAAGATGATGACCTTACGTGTGTAAATATATTGTTTTCTTTGAGGGGGTCTGCCCCCAAAAAACTGTTTTAAGTCCTGAGAAAGTCAAATAAGACGGTGTTTAAAACTACACTGCCCAGCCAAAAAAAAGTAACCACTTTGATTGAACTAGGCCAGTAGGTAAGGGCTTTCCACTGGATAATAACTGCAGTATAAAAGAATGCATGACTGAAGTGATGGAGACCATGTTGAAGGCAAACAAAAAGAGGAAATAACAGGTCAAATCAAGCAAATCCCCCTCTCAGATTGCACAGCAACCAGAAGAACATAAATACTGGCTGGTGATTTGATTCATCAGCTTTGTGATGGAATAAAAAATGCACAGTGCATTTCCTTAGCTGTGGGTGAGTCCACTGACACCACTGACAATGCTCAGTTGCTGGTGTTTGTGAGTTTTTATGATGAGGCAAAGGGGGAGTTTGTTGAAGATGTGTTGGGCCTGACGAACCTCAGTGGACACACAAGGGGAATACATTTATAAAGCAATAATGGGAATGCTGAATGAAAGAGGGTGCAGCTGCCTTTATTCCTAACTGTGCTGCTCTTACACTGCGACTCTGAGGGGTCAAGCACAGAAACAATAACAATGAAAACTGCTGCATACAGATTATTTTTGTTTTTGCAACCTCGTGTTAAGAATCTTGTTGCAATTGTTTAAAAGTTTGAATGACCGTAATAAACGGACCTTTGTCTTATTGAAACATTTATTTTGGACCTTTAAGATTTGTATTTGAGTACCCCTGCTCTAAACCCTCCTGTGAATTAATGGCAAAGGATATAGAACATTGGAACATTAAAATTGCACAGTCCAAAACAATAAGCAACTGCGGGTCTAAAGAGCAACAAAGGTATTTTATTGAGAAAAGTCTTCAACTAGAAATTAACTCTCAAACTTCAAATGTAACTTAATTGATAGTTTGAGGGGAATACTTTGATGATTTGCTGTCAAAAGGATATTCTGCTCCCTCATGTTTACCAGGTGTTTTATTGGCCGGTGTGTCCATAATCTTCTTCTTAAATAAACGTTCTACATTCAGTTGCGAACCCGACCTTAAAGGAGGGCACAAGAAGGCACAATTAAACTAAATTAATTTAACATTCAGGTCTGATTTATAGGAAGAGCAGTTTAAAAGTGAGAAACTCACTGATTACCACTTCTCTCTCCACCAGGCTTTGTGACCGGATTTGAAAGGGTGCCTATTCTTGACCTGGAGAAGTTCAAGATGAAAATCAGAGATGCAGAAGTCCAAGGCCCCCCTGACCAGTTCTTCCCCAACGCAGATACGTGTTACTCGGACCTGGAGCTGCCCTTCTACTCAACCAAAGAGATCATGCAGACCAGGCTGACCGAGGCTCTGAGCAGCAACAAAATCATCTTCAAAGAAGCTGGGACTGAACTCTGATGGTGTCTGGTCTGAACAGAAGACTTAACATTGTCATACAGCACTTTGTAAACCAAGAAGCAGCCTTTGTAGTATTGCTACTATACCTGTTTCTTAACAAACTGTATGGCTGAGAAATTCTTGATAAATAGGATGTATTGTGTGGTGGGTTAATATCAGAAATCCTTCCCTAATAGCAAAAACGCTGTTATACATACTCCATTTTGATTTGTATGTATATATGCATATTTCATAAAAACGCCCTATGTACATATTTAAGCATGACATGATCTTCTAAGATGAATAAGGGTGTGACTTTGTTGTATTATTTTGGTAAGTTAACCATGTAACAAATGTTACATACAATATGTTTAAACATAATACTCCTTTGTGTTCTGGAGACTTTTATTGTTGAGTTAAGTTTTTCAAAACCTTAATATAGGAATCATTTGTTAATTAACATTATACTGTATGTTGATGCAATAAAAATGACTTCCTACTGTGCTCCTCGGCTGTTGAATAACTGCTAAAACATACACATCTTAAGATATAACACTGTACTGTGGAACTGGTTTATTTACTGCAGAATCTCCTCTTATTTAATTTACTGTGAAATAATCACCTCATACATTATGTTAGGTCATATTTTTATGCATACAAATTACCTTTAATCTTTGATGATTGGGTCTGAAAACTCTACCTCATCCTGTATACTGAGTTTAGCGGCAGTAGGCCTATTCGACAATAGTTAATTGCTAATTTACCAAGCCCAATGTTATTTTGAACTAAGTATTGGGAATTAGTTTCTTCCATATTGACTAAACAAATGTATAACTAGAAAGGAATTGTCAAACACAATGTGATTACTAAATATCCGTTTTTTTTGTCATTATCCCCCCCCCCCTCTCAAGGTGTTTGGCTCTTTCCAGGTGGAACAATTACTTTATGGGACTGTATCTCGATGGTATGATATTTGTAAACTGTTGATGCATTGCTCTGAGTTATCTTTTCACCAACTATTTTAAGGAAACAAGTTTATTTATTTTCTGCTCTTTTCCTTACTTAATTGCAGTGATGGGAAGTAACTAAGTAGCCTACATTTACTCAGGGACTGTACTTAAGTTCAATTTTGAGATACTTGTCCTTTACTTGAGTATTTCAATGTTATGCTACTTTGTACTTCTACTCCACTACTATTTAATACCTAATTTAGTTAATTTGCAGATTTTGATTAATAAGGCTGATGCATTGACTGGGACTGATAGAAAGATGAGGCTGAAGAATCTGCGAGGAACGAACTAGGGGCAGAGAAATAATCATATTTTCACCCTTTAATTGCCAGACGAAGAAGAAATCTATGGGAAAATTATTTATTTGCATTTTTTTATCAAATAGGACAAATAACCACAAACCTTTTTTTTTTTTGACTGACCACACAGTTTTGTTTTTATGAGCCTCTACCAACTGGTCGTGCTGGCAAAAGTGCATTTTCAGTACAGTATTTGTATGCATCAAACTCAAATACATTTGTTTCTTTTATGGAAAATGAGCAATATATACAACCAGATATATTCATAAAAAATAATAAATTATAATTGTTAAAAAAAAAAAAAATGGAAAAAAGTAATGGAAAGTGTTTTTCAATATAAAAGAAAAACTTGCTAATCTTACTGTATATGCCTAACAAAAAACAACTGGCCCAACAGGAAATGTCTATATCCTGTGTTGGCCTAACTTGCATCTGTGTGCAACTTTGGGCTGCATTTCATGCATGAAAGGTGCTATATAAATTATTATCACTCTGAGACTCATAAGGCAGTGCTAGATTTAGTCATATTACAATGAAACTAGCTATTCACCGTATTTTATTGGAAAACATCTCTAAAACTCTGAAAAAGTCATATTGCTAGTTTACAATATGAAGGCGAATTCGACCGGTTGGTTGAGCATATTTTCCAAAAAATAATTACACCCTTGTTACAAAAATGTTTTGTGCATCAAGTTATCTAATTATGTTCAGTCAGTGCTCTGACACTAAGATATGTCAAAATGATATGGTTACCTTACAAAAGTTGACCAAAAAGAGTGATTTATTCCGGAGTAATTTTTAGCATGCCAACTTTCTCAGTGGAAGCTAGCTGAAGGGCTTTCTGTTCGAACCACAGTGACATCTAAAGGTTGTTTTGTGCATAACATGTCAACCAAACGGTAGAGCTGACTGAATCAGATGGAGTTACCCTTTTTTTTCAACAAGATATCAAGACACAAAATGTGCTCTACCAAATTACTATTATCATTTCATTGCATTTAGCTGACGCTTTTATCCAAAGCGACTTACAATAAGTACATTCGACCAGGAAGACACAACCTTGAAGAAAACAGAATCATATAAGTACATCAGGTTTCATAGAGCCAAACATTTCAAGTGCTACTCAACTGGCTATAGATAAGCCAATCCTTTATTAGTATATAAGTGCTCTGTTAGCAGTTCTTTGTTTGTAATTCTATCGCTCGAGGTGGAGTCGAAAGAGATTAGTTTTCTGCTGTCCTGATGTCAATGGGGAGCTCATTCCACCATTTTGGAGCCAGGATAGCAAACCCACGTGTTTTTGCTGATGGGAACTTGGGTCCCCCTCGCAGCGAGGGTGCAGCGAGTCGTTTGGCTGATGCAGAGCGTAGTGCACGCGCTGGGGTATACAGTTTAACCATGTCCTGGATGTAGGAAGGGCCAGATCCATTCGCAGCATGGTATGCAAGTACCAGTGTCTTGAAGTGGATTCTAGCAGTTACCGGAAGCCAGTGAAGGGAGCGGAGGAGCGGAGTGGTGTGGGAAAATTTAGGAAGGTTGAAGACCAGACGAGCCGCTGCATTCTGGATGAGCTGCAGAAGTCGGATGGCACATGCAGGTAGATCAGCCAGGAGGGAGTTGCAGTAATCTAGGCGTGAGATGACGAGAGCCTGGACCAGAACCTGCGTCGCTTTCTGTGTCAGCTGGGGACGTATCTTCCTGTTGTTGTAAAGCGTGTATCTGCAGCAGCGGGTTGTAGCAGCGATGTTTGCAGTGAAGGACAGGTTGTTATCTAGGGTCACACCCAGATTCCTTGCAGTCTGAGTCAGGGAAACAACAGAGGTGCCGATGTTGATTGTCAGGTCAAGAGTGGGACAATCTTTTCCCGGAAGGAAAAGCAGTTCAGTCTTGTCAAGGTTGAGCTTGAGGTGATGAGCAGACATCCACTGAGAGATGTCAGCTAGACAAGCAGAGATGCGTGCGACGACCTGGGTCTCTGAGCGGGGAAAGGACATAATTAATTGGGTGTCGTCAGCGTAGCAGTGGTATGAAAAACCATGCGGGCCTAATGACTGATCTAAGCGAGTTTGTGTACAGGGAGAAGAGGAGGGGACCGAGAACAGAGCCCTGAGGGACCCCTGTAGTTAATTGACAAGGGTTGGACTCGGACCCTCTCCAAGTTACCCTGTAGGTGCGTTCTTTGAGGTATGAGGTGAGGAGTGAAAGTGCTGAGCTTGACACTCCAAGTTCTTGGAGAGTGTGAAGGAGAATCTAATGGTTCACCGTGTCGAATGCAGCAGACAGGTCCAACAGGATGATGACAGAGGAGAGGGATGCTGCTTTGGCAGTGTGCAGTTCCTCAGTGACAGCAATGAGAGCAGTTTCTGTGGAGTGACCTGCCTTGAAACCAGACTGGTGCAGATCCAGAAGGTTGTTCCAATGGAGATAACAGGAGAGTTGTTTAAAGACAGCGCGTTCAAGTGTTTTAGACAGGAACGGGAGTAGAGAGACAGGCCTGTAGTTTATAACATCAGACGGGTTGAGAGTGGGTTTCTTTAGGAGAGGGTTTACTCTTGCCTCCTTGAGACTGTTTGGAAAGTGACCAGAAGTTAGAGAAGTGTTGATGAAATTGGAGAGAAACGGTAGAATATCAGGAGCGATAGTCTGAAGGAGGTTTGAAGGGATAGGGTCCAGAGGACAGGTGGTAGAGGTAATGAGGGTAAGAACCTCACTTGGACGGCAAATGGTGGCACTGGCTGTTCAAGGTAAAGACAGCATCATCATAAGATGCCAACAAGAGTGACAGGGTGTGTCACTTTGCTGAAGGATAGACCAGCTATCCAGGATAGTCTCTAAAGATTTCCCAAGGGGTAAAAGCTGCTGCTGGAGTACTAACTGGAAGTAGTGCTGATATCATGTCTACCATATCCTCTTAAAATACTCTGTCCAACAATAATAGTCGAATGACACATTTTTATTTAAGATGCATTCTTGTACTAGGGAGGGGAATTTGAAAGAGAATACCTGAAAAAGTACTTGTTGGTGTAATTAAATTAGTATACTGAGTCAAACAGTATCACTCTCATTAAGAATTTATGGCAGAAAATAATTTTATCTCTCATCAAAGATAGCAGAAAACATGCATTATTGTAGTCAAGAGGGGAGTTTGACAGAGTACACAGTAAAAGTACTCTAAATAGTACCTCCAAGCTGTTTTAATATAGTTTTGAAGAAAAAACCCTCGATGCTGACTTTACCACGCAAACGGGAAATACGGCCGCATCAATCCAGCAGTGTCAGCAGCATCAGACAGAGTGAGAGATACTCATACACTTTAAGATAGGGATTCATGGCTGACAGTGCAAGACAGACAGATCGTGAGACCGACAGACGCGCACACATACGCACACATACGCACACATATGCGTACACACACACACACACACACACACACACACACACACACACACACACACACACACACACACACACACACACATACACACACACACACACACACACACACACACACACACACACACAGACACACAGACACACACACACACACACACACACACACACACACACACACACACACACACACACACACACCACACACACACACACACACACACACACACACGGACTGTCTTCTTCTGTATGTTTTGCATGTAGCCATATATTCAATGTATTTTTGTGCAAACACGCACTGCACTGTCTAGGCAACGAGTGTATAAACCTTTATTTTGAAGAGTACAGCGCAAGCATAGGGCAAACTAGCCAATCAGAAGCAAGAAGACACTGGAGACCCACCCATCTATGGAAACGAAACATTGGCCCTTTCTCACTTCTCTTATTTTTAATTTCCTCGCTCCTCGGTCTCGGTCTCACCGGAAGTTGATTTGTCTGCGCCATCTTGAGTAGCGTCCCAATGGCCTTATGTTTGCCGGAGGAGCGAGGAGCGATAATGGAGGAGCTAAAATCGAGGAACCACCAGACCATCGTTCGATGAAATCCTCAGACACTCGCCCCGCCCCCTTACTGTGTATCGCTCACTGATTGGACGATGCAGTGCATGCACTGATCTGATGCTTCTTGACATGAGAGCAGTTTCCCAGCGGAGTGAAGAAAATACATGAACCTCACGGGAGTCACTCCTCAGTTTATACTGTGTTTTGTTTCAATTAATGTATCATTTAGTTACAAATATGTGATA